ACATATAAATATTAAATGTTTCTCTGATGCAGACTGGGCAACGTCCAAAATTGATCTAAACTTTAACTTAATTGATGTAGGTCTCCCAATTGTTGGTTGAATGGGTTTAAAGATGACAGTTCCAGCAAAATTCTGTGATAATCAAGCTGCAATCCATATTACATCAAACCCTGCCTTCCATGAGCAAATGATATTGCCATTTTATTTATGAAAATATTCAACAATTTAATTTAAATAGCTCATGTAAAAACTAGGGAATAAATAGGGGGCATCTACATAAAGGATCTGAATGGAGCCAAGGTCACTTATATTTGTAAAAATCCGAGCATGATAAATATATATGCTTGTATATTAGAAAGTTTTCGACTTGTGTTAAGAAAGGCAGAGGTAGACCTAGGAAAACTTGGGCTTATTGTATTAAAAATGATCATAATTTACTAGAACTAAATGAAAATATGACACTAAATAGAACGCAATGGAGAAAAAGGATTCATGTAGCTGACCCATGTAGTGGGATTAAAGCTTTGTTGTTGTTGTTGTTGTTGTTGTATATTAGAAAGCTTGATTATAGGAAACCTATTTACAGATCTAATTATAAGGTTTTTTCCTCTATTAGAAATATTCCTAATTTATAGAGATTGGGAGATAAAGAGGGAGAGAGAAAAAGTGTGTGTGTAACATGTCTTTAATGAGAAAAAGAAGGAAGGAAGAGTTTTTTGTTACATTTACACATGTCGGGGCAAAATATGTGCATTAATGTATGTATATATATTTATTACTTATTCAATCAAATGAATGAAGTCACAATAATCAACAAATCCTATTTTTTATAAATGAAATGTATGTAACTATCAAGGATTTGTTCATAGAGGGGATGGTCAATCTTACCATGAACTTCGAATAAGACTAAAAAATAAACATTCCTTATTTTAAGCATATGACATTAAAAATAAATAGAGCAAGTTTGTTGAACTCTTGTGGTCTACTTTTTTGGATAAATTGTTGACAATGATGATTAAATATCAAAATTTTGAAGCACAATTCAAGCGTCAATCATGACTCATAAGAGAGTTCAAAACTCCAAACGATAGATTCTTCAATTAACAAGCCAAGCTAGAGCCAACCCTAATTGGACTAGTTAGCTTATCAATAGACTGATTTAAAAAATGTTAACATAAAATATGCTCAAAGATTAGTTAAAACAAAATTATTCAAGTACAATGCAAAGAAAAATATTTAAAATTATATCTAAATTCCTATTATTAAGTAAGCTTTTGTTACCAGTTTAATATAACTACTATTTGAATCAGAATCATTTTGCTGTCTTTCATAATAAATGACTAAACTCAAACTGATAGAATTAAGTTTGCTTGAGAGCTTGATTAATTAATAAAGCTCTAGCCATGGTGGCTTGAGCTTGACTCAACTCATTTTACACCCCTACACAAAACATAGCTCAATGTAATTTTAATTTGATACATAGATCAATTGGGAACCAGTTTAATATTTCCTATTAATCTATTTTAGCTGCCTATTAACTTGCATCCTTAGATTAACAGGTTGATTATCAAGTGTCCATCAAAACATTAATCCTTGTTGCTTGGTGCAAACAAAAAAGGAATATAAAGACCGGAGAGTCAATTCTTAGGGGTAAAAAAAATTCAAGAAAAAAGAAAAGAAAGAGAAGTGTGAAGAAAGAAAATCAATGGATAACGATAATTTTAAATCAAACTAACCAATCAAGTGCCAGACTAATAAAATTAGCCAGTATTATGGAAAACATGAGGATGCCTTGCAACTAATGGACCAACCTGCATTCCTTGTCCATTTTTGTAATACAAATATGATTGGAGAGGATGAGATGAGGATAGGTTTAATATTTATTAAGGAAGTTACCATTCAAAATATAAATCAATGTGAATTTTTCTACTTATGATGCGGCAATTGATACCGAGAAACTAGATGAATAAATCAACAAGTTAGAGACTTCACCTTCTAGGGATATAACATCTATGATAACGTCACAAAGTTAAGTCACCATACCCTGGTATGGTGGAATGCCAATGTGAAAAATAATATCCATTAAGAAATAATTTGGGAGATGTGCAAGCAACTGAAAGATGAGAAGTCTACTCAACAAAGTATGTAAAATATCATTAGAATAAATGGAATAGATTGGGACAACAATAAGAGCAATCTGTGGATAGTATAGTAAAAAGATCTATCATCAGGGGATCACATTGGGAAATATATCTTGGTGAGATACAACATTGATGAAATTTAGCCCAAGAGTTCATTTTAAAATTTAAAATAAAGTTAGTTTGTTACCAATCAATAACCTCAAGTAAGCCAGTGTGTTTCAATGACCATAAAATGCAATAACTAAAGAAAAATGGAGAAAACCCAAGAAACATCCAAAGAGGAACGCTTACAAAAGACATATATTTGATAAACCCTATAACCATTATTAGATATAAGTCAGAAAAAAAGACTATTGGAAACAGCACCCTCAACTCTTCCATGAAAATGAAAGAAAAAAAAAATAATCAATAATTTGTGGTAGACAACAAGGATGACCAATCCCTTATCTACAAACTACAATGGCAACGCTAAAGCAAAGAGTGACAAGGTCGTCCTCCTATATGGACACGTTGAGGAGATGCTCACTTTGACAATATAAGTCCAAGCAAAAGATGATCAAAGCCACCATTGAACTGATAGTAAAAAAACCTCATTTCTCCCAATTTGGTACAGAAATAGAGAAGAAAACCACACACTATCCAAATCCTTATTCCTTAAATTAGATTCAGAAGGGTTTAAAAAATGAATGATTGTTAGTAATGCTCGAAATTTGCAACCACCAAGGTATATAGTGATGAGATGGCTTGTGGAGCGGTTCCAAATTGGTTTTACTTGATACTTACCTGGTCATCATCGATAGTTCATACTTCAATAATCACATCAATGTTAGCTTACAAAGGAAACAACCCTTTATATAAAATGGATAATAGTGCATGAAAACAAAATAACAAGTCAATTAGGTAGATTATCTAACATGAGTTGGAAAATCTTACTAATGCTAGTATTCCCTAGGGAAATTATAGCAAAAAGTTAAATTCTCTATATTTATTAAATTAGGTAAAAAGGTGTCAAAAAGAGGCAGAAGTGGACGAAGAAGCAAAACATATAACCAATCTTTGATCCATTGTTATTAAATCTATACATATGTTAAAACAATTAGTAGGATTGATTTCCCTGATGTGGGGGTGGTCAAAAAGACATGCAATTGTGCAATGACATGTAGTCAATTAGCCAGAGACCAAGAACAACAACAAAAAAGCCTTTATCCCACCAAGTGGGAGGGGTCGACTACATGAATTATTTTAATCCATGGAGCCATATTGAGTGTATTATTTTCATTTAATTCTAATAGATTAAGATTATTTTTATACATTCTACACAATTCTTTTGCATCTACCTTTCTTATTAAAAAGACATCTAAAACATATACTCTCCTAACAGAAACATCAGACAGTCGATGTTTAATATGACCAAACCATCAAAGACGGCTCTCTCTAATGTTGTCTGCCACTGGAGCTACACAAGTCTTTCAGGAATATATTTGTTTCGCATTTTGCCTCCAAGTGTAAACCGACTCATCCACCTAAGCATTCTCATCTCAACAACACTGACTACTATACAAGTTAATAATTACAAATAAATTAAAAAAATAAACATATTTAGAAAATGATAAATAAAACTATAACAAAATCTAATTTGTGTGTAATTTTGAATGTAATTTTATTTGAAGCCTAGTTGGGTATTTGGTCTTCCGTGAGACACTAGTACCATACTTTCCTTGACACTCACTTATTATCGAATACTTAACTTTTTAGTATTAATGAACATAGTAAGAGTTTGCATGATTGTAAATGATTTGGCAATTGCTCAAAACTGAACTGCATATTAACCATAAAGGCGATTGCTAACTACAAACTACTCTCAATTACTATGGCTTAGATCTACTCGTCATTTATTAGTTGGTTGAGTTTGTAGGTTTAAATATATTATTTTCAGTACATGATGAACTACAGTTAGTATTAAACCACCATCCTACATGAATTACTTGTCTGTAACAACTTTATTTTATTTAATTATTGGCGACACTAATAAAATAGTAAATTGTGCTAGCTATGTTATATGGATCTAGGAAGACTTGGGCTTATTGTATAAAAAATTATCTTAATTTACAAGAACTAAATGAAAATATAACACAAAATAGAATGTAATGGAGAAAAATGATTTATGTAACCGACCCCACGTAGTGGGATTAAGGTTTTTTTGTTGTTGTTGTTGTTGTTGTATGTTATATGGATCTATAAGCTTTTTTACATGAAAAATTTTATAATTATTATGCTTGAAATTGCTACTTAACTTTGGAGTTATTTAAATGTCTTCAGAAAACATATTATGAAAAATCATAGTTATTTCAAAAGCTTCATGGATTATATGATTGGTTTCATGTGTTAAAACCTAGGTTTATAGGGGACACATAGCATAACTTTGCACATTCGTATATGTTATCCTTGTTAAGGAGGATTAAGGGTCTGTTTCGGGCAATTAAAGCTTATCCAAATAAGTTGTTTATCTTGTTAAGTAGTTGATAAGTAGATGATCCAGATAAGCAGTCTGGCTATTTAGTTTGTGGTTTGGAAAACAGTTGATTCTGAATAAATGATCATTCTGTCTCTGTTTTTTATAAGTTGTTTAACTGTTTGGTTTGTGCGTTTTGTAAACAATTGATTTGCAGATTGTTTTATTTAATGGAATAATTTTTCACGCAGAACTTGTATGTTCTCAACAACACTGCAATGTCTACTCATTAGATATTTTACAACTACTCCACCCCCTTAATAACAGTACCAAAAAATATAGACCTCACCCAATAGTGATATCATAAAACCTAAAAAAAAGAAAATATAATGTTAAAATTACAAGGAAAAAAATGAAAATATTCATTTTAAAATATAGAAGCATGTCACGACCAACGTTGCTCAGTTCTGACACCCCATAATCCCAAGCAAACTTATCCGGCTGGGAAGTAGTCAAACTACAAACAACGTTCTCAAGTTGTGATATCGATGATCCCTGAGCAACGATGTCCGCTTGGGATAATGTAGAAAAGGGCGTACTATCAGCCCACCTGAAGAACTTGCAGTCTTGTGATCTGTGTGCTTACTGCGGGCACCTGTAAAATTGTCACCCGTAGCTATCTTGTTGACGTGACGTGAGTAATAAGAATGACAGTCCGCAGTGGCATAACACTTGTTTGCACTTTCCTGAAAATCTGTAACTAAGCTTAGTACAATTATTTAAGAGAGAAAAGACCAGTCAGGAAATTACATGAAAAAAAACAATCGTTCAATTTGAAAAAATATGAATAAAAAAATATTCAATTCAAAGTTGATATAAGAATATAAAAATGGAAGATTTATATACAAGCCAATCAATTGCTATAAACCTTATTCATTGCCATGCTCATTGCGAACAACTTCAATTGCAAACAACAAAACTTGAATAAAAGAGCATTGATATGATTTGGAAACATAAATGACATAAATGATTTTAACAAACTTAAGAGGGGGATTTACATACATAACACTAACTTATTATGTTTTACCTATCTAATGCTATAACATCCTAGCAAATGATATTGAAACGTATACATGAAAATATATGTTTTACTTCAAAAAAGCTAATATTAGTATGACTTTTTATATTGTTTAGAAATTATATGTTCTATAAGTAAATATAAAGAGTTAGGTGTTAGAGGTGTAAATTTAACACTTAGGGTACATGTGTATGGTTCACATACAGCTGGACATCCTCTTGCTTGCCTCAAAAACCAATTTAGCGGCCATGGAACTTTGTTCTCTCTCAGCACAGCATGCAGCAAACTCCACATCCTTATTGAAGTTTTTAAATAAATACAATGATCACATTGAGAAGGTCCTCTTAAGTTCGTTGATACCATTCATGTCATTTATGTTTCCAAATCATATCAATGCTCTTTTATTCAAGTTTTGTTGTCTACAGTTGAAGTTGAGTTGTTCGCAATGAGCATGGCAATGAATAAGGTTTATAGCAATTGATTGGCTTGTATATAAATCTTCCATTTTTATATTCTTATATCAACATTGAATTGGATAATTTTTTTTATTCCACTTTTTTTCAAATTGAACGATTGTTTTTTTTCATGAAATTTTCTGATAATTGTAGTAAAATGAGTTACAGGTTTTCGGGAAACCCGACCAAGTGCTATATAGTTGCAGACTGTCGTCCTTATTACTCACGTCACGTCAACAACATAGCTACGGGCGACAATTCTACAAGTGCCCGTGATGGGCACATGAATCAGAGGACTGCAAGTTCTTCAGCTGGGCAGACAGTACGTCTATTTCTACGTTAACCCAGCCAGACACAGTTGTTCGATGATCGTCAATATCACAACTTGAGAACGTCGCTTGTAGTTCGACTACTTCCCAGCCCACAAGTTTGCTCAGGGTTCTGGGGTGTTAGAACCGAGCAAAGTTTGTCGTGACATGCTTCTACATTTTAAAATGAATATTTTTATTTTTTCCCTTATAATTTTAACAAGTTATTTCTTCTTTTTTTTAGGTTTCATGATACTCATTATTAGGTGAGGTATATATCTTTTTGTACTGTTATCAAGGGTGTGTAGTGTTCGTAAAATATCTAATAAGCAGACATTGCAGTTTTGTTGATAACATTATAACTTTTGCGTACCAGATTGTTTATTTAACTAAAAAAATCTGCAAACCAGCTGTTTACAAAACACATAAACCAAAAAGCTAAACAACATATCAAAAACAGGAGCAGAATAGTCATTTATCCAGAATCAGTTGTTTTCCAAACACACAAACCAAACAGTCAGACAACTTATCCAGATCAACTGCTTATTATCGGAGGTCGTCCAGAGAACTTCGCGTTTTCACCCTTTCTTTAAGTTAAATCTAGTCCGATCATGTGCAACTTCGTGAATTTTGTGCATTTCATGTGCGTGTGGGTGGATAAAGTTTTGAAAAAGTTTTCCTAAGGCTTGAGATCCTATTGGGAACTTCTCCTTAAGTCTCCACATGATAGTCCTTAACCACTCGACCATACGACGATGGTTTTGAGATCATCAATGCGAGACATCACAAGAGAAATAGAAAGTGGCTGGAATTTCTAAGGGGATGAATTCCAATACTAATTTTCTAAGATAGTCAATAGGAACCCTTAGAGCTAGATCCTAGGATCTTAAGAAAAAGAGTAATGACCTCAAAATGAGATCAACAGTAGGATGAAGGTTTAATACTAACTACAATTCTGCATGTACTGAAAATAATATATTGCAAACTACCAACTCAACCGACTAATAAATGACAAGTAGATCTAAGCCATACTAATTGAGAGTAGTTTGTAGTTAGCAATCGCCCTTATGGTTAATATGCAGTTCAGTTTTGAGCAATTGCCAAATCATTTACAAGCCTGCAAACTCTTCCTATGTTCATTAATACTAAAAAGTTAATTATTCGACAAAAAGTGAGAGTCAAGCAAAGTATAGTACTAGTGTCCCACGGAAGACCAAATACCCAACTAGGCTTCAAATAAAATTACATTCAGAATTACACACAAATTAGATTTTGTTATAGCTTTATTTATCATTTCCTATATATGTTTATTTTTTTAATTTATTTGTAAATATTAACCTGCATAGTGGTCAGTCCAACAATCCGTAGTATTACAAAAGCTAGACTCTTGTCTTATCATCAATCATTCACAATCTATAAGCCTCATGAGGCAAAAATTCCTCTCCAATTTTCAAGAAAAAATATATATACATGCTATAGCACTTTCAATAAGCAGGCATCACTAATCATAATATACAATTCTACTATATAAATAGAGGGGGAAAATATTCAATAAAACACATAAAATTTAAATCATTTTCTGGTCTACATTGTAACAGAGATCCAGGAAAGATAGTCCTAGAGTTTGTTTCTATGATTTGTCTAGGCCAAAATCTACCACCTTTTGTCTATCTCCCACCTATCACCCGTTGTTAATGTTGAATTCCCATCGTCACAGTTTACCTTCCAAATGGCTTCCCACTCACAATCCTCAATTTGTCACTAAAACCCGTCCTTCGACACCTCCAACTATAATCACTAGAAACTAGACCTAAAATAAATTCTTATTCTTTTAACCTATTCCTCGTCAAATTTTAGATGGAGCCACGAAGAAAATGATTTGGTGCGCTAAAGAAAAAGATATATTGTAATATCTAGACACGGGTACTATAATCCATTAATCAACAAATTTGGATGCAAGAAGAGCACAAGCTTAGCTCCATATTTAAATGGAACCCATCTTTTAGTGTGATAGAATCCAAGTTTCTATCAACATTATTCAATAAAATGAAAGATGGGAAGTTTCAACATATGGTGTGCCAAATGGCTAAACACCAAAGGTTCCTACACCCAAGCAACTCAAAAACCTCAATACTATTTTCCTTAATTCATACTGATCTTGGACTATTCTGCTTCATTAATATTAATGGGGGTTAAATAATTTGTTACTTTCATAGATGATTAATCACACAAAACCTAACATTTTCTCATGAAAATAAACCTTTCCCATATTCCATAAAATAATCCTTGCCAAATATTAATTAAATGTATTAGCTCTAGTAATGGGAAGGAATATTTAAATCAAACACTAATATCTTATGATGAATGATCTTCTCATGAAAATAAATCATCTGATGAATGATCTTATACTGACTTCCCACAACAAAATGAAGTTGCATTAGGAAAAATTAGCCATGTCCTTAAAACTATTAGGGCCCCACTCTATTAAAAAAACTGTTTCAATTTTTTTAAGGAAGACACTTTAATTGCTACATTCCGAATAAATGA